TAGTTAATAAATATTGTGCATCTACTTGCGACATGTGGACAGATAATTACCGTAAAAATAACTATATGTCAGTTACTTTACACTATGTAGACGATAACTGGAAGTTAAAAAGTCGATTACTTTTTACTGTTCAATTTCTTTCAAATGAAACAAAAACTGGCGAAAATATAAAACGTTTTTTACACAATTTTTTTTCAAATAATTGAGGCTGCAAATGAAACTTATTGTGATTTAATGTTTAATATAACATTTATTACTAACCAAGGAACTAATATGATATCAGCAATTAGTAGTTTTAAGCGTCTCAATTGCTGTGCACATTTGCTTAACACAGTTTTAAGAAATTTATTCGATGATAAATTTTTGAATAATGAAGATGAAGACGATGAAAAACCTCTGGAACCTGTTACAATATTAATGAATGAATGTAAACATTTAGTAAGGTATATGAAAAGTAGTGGAAGGAATTGTGAACTTAAAAAAAGGACTTGTACAAGAAGTAGAGAGTAAATGGAACACACGATTATTAATGTTGCAATCTGTACAACGTGCACTTCCAAAAATTATTGAAATCCATGGACAAACATTTAGTTGTTTAAAAAATATTAACGGAGAGTTACTCAAAAAACTAGTTGAATTTTTAGAACCATTTAAAGCAGTATCTGATGAACTTGAATCTGATATACGCCCTACTATTCACAAAGTTATTTTGTATCAGGCGTTATCAAAAAAAAATTTAACTAAATTTACAGAATTGCAAGAATACAATCATATTAATAGCGATGTCAACATTTCGATTATACTAAAATTATTAGGTAAGAAAGGATTAGAACTCATGAACTTTGAATTCCAGTGGGACATTGAACATGAAGTAAATGTATTTATATCGCAGAAATTCAAATGTTTTCTGAAATTGACAAATTGAGAATTTTAGACAAAATTGATATGAAGTTTAATAAAATTCAATCAGAGAAAACAAATAAAATTTATAGTGATTCGCAACAAGAAAATCTTAATCGGTCAAATAATAAAAAAAATACATTTTTTTCGGATTGGGAAGATCTTTCAAGTGTAGAAATTTCAGAAAGTCGCTTTAAATATAAAAAGGAATTGAAAGAATACAAAAATAAATACTTTGACGTCCACGAAGACAATTTATTACAATTTTGGAAAAATAAAAATTTGAATTCCCATGCCTGTCAAAATTAACACGACAAATATTGTTTATTCCGGCTAGTAGTGCAAGTAATGACAGGTTATTCATTACTGCTGGAAGGGTAATAGAAGAACGAAGAAATTGCTTAAACGGTTCTATAGTTGATGGCACATTATTTTTGAACAATTATTACAAAACTTAACTTTAATAGTATAATATACATCTTTCTTATTTGTTTAATTTTAAAACAGGAAAATTTTTTATTTTATGTAATTAATATATTTTAGTATGTTTTCTTTTCTCTATTTAAATAGTTAATCTTTCTTATTATATAATAGAACAAGGAAAAAAACGCTTTTCTGGGAAAATTACTTAGCGTGCTCGGATTTTCAAAATTTTTTTTTTCAACGAAAGTACTCGGTCACCAGACTCCGGTAAAATTATTGGTGAAGGTCGGGAAATTTTTGCCGCTCGCCCGCGAGCGTTTTAAAATTTCGACCGTTTTCGAGAAAAACGCTCGCTGACGCCAGTGTTTTACGACTTAAGGTTTGAAATTTTCATCAGACCCGCCCAATGACATTCCTGATATTGATATAAAAATCAATTCAATCCGTTCATTTTTCACCGTTTTACGAACTTTTTTTTTTCATGTGCTCGAGACGCCAGGGCGCGCCGCCCGAAATTCTTGCGACACTTTACGACATGAAAACGATTTTTTTTACGATTCGCAATCATACCACGGCGTTCTGTACGTGCCGAGAAAGCGCCAAAAATCGGAAAATCCCAGATCCGACAAAAACTCCACGCGCATGGTTTTATTATGCGCAGTGATTCATTTTTGCTGATACGTTTATTATGAACCTTAATTATATGCCATATAATATATGGTGTATTATGTATTATTATTAGGACACTATTTTGCATTCGCCCTATTTTAATCAAGGAATGTTATATGTTTTATATAATTTTCAAGACGTTATAATTATTTAAGTTTGTACTTTTATTATAAGAACAGTACTAAGTACAGAGTTAATAGTTTTCTTTTTTCTCATATATGATGTATGAGACTATGAGTTTATCTTTTGAATTGGGATTCATCTATGATAACTATGATGTTCATCGTTAAATCGCAGTTACTAATATATTTATCAAAATTAAATTTTTATTTTTATTTTTAATATTAATTTTATTTTAATATTAATTTTAATTTAAATTTACAGTGTGCCACTTATAATAACCTGCTAAATTTTTTTTTAATTATTCTATAATATAAACACAATTATTATAATTAGATTATTAATAATTTGTGTGTATAACAGGGGTGTATTTAAGAGAGATTGGCCCCTCCTTGAACAAGGGCTATCAATATTTTTTTAGGCAACTTCTAATATATAAGGACCTCTTTTTTCATCATTACTTTAATTTTAGCAAAAAAATTTCTATAACATGTTTAACAAAGTAAAAAATATTAAATTTCCTCCTAAAATAATTTTTGAATAGGCCTAAAGGGAATACCTCATTAAGAGGCTTCAACCTTATACCCAATACATTTTACTATATTCTCTTTTTGAATTTTCCTGATTTAATAATAACATTTTTAGATATAGTTTTCTATAGTTTTCACTGATTCTGAAGTAATATTTTTTCTGAAAAACACATATCGTGCCCGGCGTAGCCGGGTACTTCTACCGGAATCTGTGGCCTACTTATGATGACGGCCCGAAGAGGCTTACACGCCGAAGGCGCCCCAGCTAGGCGGAGCCTAGTAATAATATAATTTAATTTTTTATATTGAGTAATAAAGTATATTATGACTTCATGATTTTACAAATAAGTTTATATCTGAGTAAACTTTTAGTTATTTTTATGAATAATCATTTTGTTTTAAATTTAGGACTTAATATAAAAAAAAGTATTCCATAAATGTATATTGTCTAAAGATTTTAATATGTAAAGTTTCAGTACATTTCAATTAAGCCTTGTTTAGCCAAGTACAATTTTCATTTTTTGCAACAGTATGATCAAGTCCCAAAGTTTATTTAAATTAATGTTCATGTTTTGTTCAGTATGGTCAACGTTTTTGTTGTATCTTGTTTAATTTTGTCTGTGCAGAGTTTTTTATTTAATAATCCGGTTGGGTTCGGTCTAGAATTTTTTTTTTATTTTATAGTCAGGTTCGGTTTGGTCCATTTAAAATTTCATATAATAGTTCAGTCCTGTCTTTTTTTTAGTTTTACAGTACTGTTCGGCCCGGTCCTTGACAATTCGGACCATGCAGAGCTCTAATAGATAGATTTAAAAAGGAAAGAAAACAAAGACTTTACTTTAAGTAGTAAGCCGGACAACGATAACCGAGCACTGAGACTGATGAATGACACAAGGTACTGGAGTCGACTGACCAAGATGGCCAGGTCTTTTGGGTTTTTATAATAATTTGAACTATTGCCAATTTAGCAATAAATATTAATTATTAATACATCAGTCTCAGAAAGCGAATGTGCTTTCTGTATTTTATTATGATAAATTCTCACAATAATGGTAACATGACACCATCATAAATATCATCTCCGTTTTCATAGTTAAATAACTTTATTACAACGTAATACTTTGTAAATAGTTGGATCGACAATTGATTGTTTAAGTAAAATTTGTCGGCCGAAAAATATAGAAATTTAAGCTAATTCAAATTTCAAAGTTATTTTTTCGATTAAAAAGAAACAAAAAAAATTAAATAAGTGTAACTTTATATGCTATGTCAAATATATTTAGATAATATATATGAAAATCAGTGTTCTCACCTTATAAGGTATTTTAAAATAAAATAAAATAAAAAAACCCAGAATTTTAACACAGACTTAGCATATTTGTCAAATGTTTACAACAATATATCAAATAATAGTTAAATACCTAAGGTATTTATAAAAAATAAAATTATATTGATTTTTTCATTGTTTAAAGTTATGAAGTTTTAAGAAAAAAAAATTGAAGAAAGGTCGAAAATTACCGATTTTTTAAATTGAAATTTATTTGGGAATTTTCCTCATTTACATGGAATGAGGGATTTTTTTTTACAATTTTTGTGGGTAATGATCGACTAGATAAAATTTGTGATCTTTTGAAGTATTGTTCATCAAAATCGATTCAGTGAGATCTGAGATTGGATGGTAACGGACAGAAAAATTTTTTTTAAAAAAACACACGTCATAGTAAAATTAATACCTTCTTAGCATGGCATCGAAGTTAAAAGACTGAATAGATATTGCTGTTGCATTATAATCACTCAATAGGCAATATTATACTATGTTGGTTTTTATTTAAAACTAATTATTAATTTCATAACATTTTATAATCTGAGAAATGTTATATTTTTCAATAAAAACATTTTTCTTATCATTTTAAAAGAAAAAAAGTATTTTAGAACTTTTTGAACCAATTCATTTTTTTTTTTTCAGTAGTGCAAAGTATTTATATTTGATTTCTCTCTTAAAAAAAAAAAAATTGTTCATTAAAGAAGATATTAGTTGTGGTGTAATCTTAAATTTATTTTAGCAACTAATATTTTAATATATTAATATTATTACTATCTAATATAAAAATTATATTATGTACCTATGTTTTGCTACAGTTATGATTGATTATATTGATCGTTTTTTTAGGTTCGTTTGTTTTTTTTAAATAATCTGTTGTTGTTTATTGATAAACGGGTTTCTACCCTCAAAACCAGTGACGACTATATTATTACGACGTAAGTCGTGTCATATTGTTGGCAAATTTTATGAAACTAATTTCTAAAATTGAACAATGTATTGAGAAAAGGACAGAAGCAAACGAAATCTTTGGTATTATACTAAATAAATCAAGTTGCCCATAATTAAAAATTTTATTTATAACTCTAAAAATGTAGATAATTTGATTTCTTTGCGTTAACATTGACATTTAACTTTATAATAACATTAATTTTCATACATACGCATAATTGGTTAATAAAAATAATATAAACAAAATTACAACAACATTGCAACAAAATTTACATATGAATATTAAATAAAAAGTATGTAGTCACCCATATATTTTGGCAGTGGAAAATAAAGTTTTGACGAATCTTCAGCATTCAGATAATTAATGTTTGTTTTTTTATCATCGATAGATTCAGAACTCTCCATATTATATATTTCAGTGTATATATTTTGGCTGCATAAGCGATCTAAGAAATAATTAAAGATAAATATAATATTCATTCACAGTGTTATTCAACATAAAAAATCTTTCCAACACATTAGTTTTTGAAATAATTAATAATAATTAATTTCTGCTTAATTTATTATTATAACTACTAGTTAAGCAAATATTACACGTTAAACATAATTATTATGCATAATGTGCAAAATTAAAAATAATATAACTTGATTTTTGGAACCTTTGAAATCGAAGTTCAATATTTATTTTTAAAACAAAATAAATTGAATTTTTTAATACAAATTTTAGCTTCGATGCGAAGCTGAGAAGGTATTAATTTTACCATGATGTGTTTTTTTTTTTTTTTTTATGTCTGTTGCCACTTTTTCTCATCTCTCACTGGACCTATATGCCATAACTTTTTCGAATATTAACAAATCAAAATAATATTTTTTTATATTGAAACCTTAGGTAATTTCCTTTTGTTTGATATCTTTTTTTTTTTTGAAAATCTAACACTTATTCTGCACACAAGGGGGATTTAAAATAGCAACTTTTTTACAAAAACTAACTTTTTCAACTTAATTTTTGAAAATGTTCCAAAAATACTGCGTCCTTTAAATATATATCAAAATAAAGCTTATTTTATTTACTATTAAATGAAAAAAAAAAATTTGTCCCGACGACCTATCTTCTATGCGCAAATGGCTACCGTATTGAAAAATATGCTATTTTTCAATTAAAATTCTAGGTTTTGTATTTTATTTATTTTAAAATATCTTATTAGGAGAATATATGGTGAAAATAGCTATCGTATTATTATTTATTAAAAATATGCTACTATTGTGTTAAAATTCTTGGTTTTGTATTTTATTTTATTATAAGGGGATTACACTGATTTTCATAAATATTATATCAATCTAAATGACATAGTATAAAAAATTAATCATATTTTTATTTTTTTGTTTCTTTGAATTCGAGAAAAATAACTTTAAAATTTGAACTAGCTAAATTTCCATTTTTATTAAGTGACGAATGAGACGTACGGTTTTTGAGACGGTAACACTTGGGTCTTTCACGACTGTGGCACTGAATTTTTTTTTAATTCTTTTTGAGTTAAAAAAAATGTTTAACTCATTTGATTTTTATCTCATTTAGATTTAATAACTTCAATAAATATCAAGGATTCCATTACTGTAGTCTCCTCTCGTGAGAAGAAATTTATATTAATATTATTTTATTATGTGTTTTTTTTTTTGTAGCTATCATTTATTTTCTCAGCTCTCATTTGACCTACTTTTTTGACAAATTTTTTTTTTAAATTAAACACTATCTACAGATTTGCATCGAAGCGTTTTTTATGATAGTGATTTTAATCACTGTCAGATATCATCTATACTGGACCCAACTATGCCACGACCCCACTGTGCTGGGTTTTTTTTTCGTTGTAATTTTAACTGTGTCACAAAATATCAGGGACTGAAACTGTTTTTCAGTTTTTTATCAGAAATTTAAAGCCAAAATCATATACAATCCCAAACAGTTTCTGAATCGGTCAACACTGAAGAAACTGTAAAAAATTTGCACCGATTCACTTCTTACACAAAGTAGACAATTAATAAACGAAGATTTATAATTTTCATGCTTATATAATAAAAATCAATTAATATAACTAGTGTAATTTAAAAAGTATAAGAAAAACTCTAAATAATATAATTAATATAATAAATAATATATAATTATTTATATCATCTTACTTAATATATCTGACTTGGATTTGAATAACTCGTTACTGATTTGTTTAAAGAAAAAGTCATTTATATTTCGTGTTTTATTTACTGTATTAAACGACGCCTTGTATTTCTCCAATTCAGTTAAGTATGTTGACTTTACATTAACAAGTTGGGCGAACTCGTTATAGAATTTATCAACATTGTCATCAGTAATATTTATATCTACTATAATACCTATATATTTATTTAATTTATTTTTATCAAAAAAGTCTTTTGTATATTTCATAATGTTATCTACCATGACAACATATGGCTGAGAATGTTTTCTCTTGAAAATATTACGCATAGCTCTACAAAGATTATCTAAATAGGTTTTCGGTATTATTTTAAATAGATTTAGATTGTTAAAATCTTCAATTTGTGTAATTATTATAGCACCAATATTTGACATGTTGTCTCGGATTTCATTTAGATTTTTTCTATTTGTTTTATTCTTATTAGATTTGAAAAAAAGATTAAACTTCCTTAAAAATAAAGCATACATACGGACTAGTAATAAAACTGGCCGAATAGTTGACGCTAGCACTAGTTCTTGAAATCCTTGTAACTGTTTCGAATCGAAATTGTATTTCATGTAACGAAATACGTCAAAAAGTGTCAAAAAAGACCCATCAGGACACTGATATTGAAGTGGTGCAAATTTAAAATAGTCCATTACGTTAACGGCTCTATGATCTTTTACTTCTGGTAATTTTCTATATTGTACACCTGACATGAGATTTCGTTCATCAAATTTTTGCTGTCCCATCATTAAATCGTAGTATAACAAATTTTTCGGATGAAAATCCCAGCGAGAATCATTTTCCAATGCTAATTCAAATAATTTAAATATTTCACTATTATTTAATATTAATCTTTCATCTTTGAGTCTCAAGTCATTATTAGTTAATCTATTTTTTAGTTTTTCTACAACTCCAGGGAGAAATTGAATTCTATAATCTTTCTTTTCATTAAAATCTGGACAATTCGTAAATACTTCATCAAAAGATACATAAGAACAAGTATTATTCATAAAATTTTCAATTCGTTTTACCATTGCTTTATGAATCATCAAAAATCCTTCTAGTAAATTTAATTTTCCATTTAATTGATCAAATTTACCACTTTTATTTATATAGCTCATCTCTACAGATCCTGAAACGTTATTCAAGTATAAATTTACATCCATTAATTTGAATGGATAATTTGCTTTATCTTCGGATCTTAGAGCTTCTAACATAGCAATTACAATTTCGCCGTGAGATTGTATAGCTTTTCCATACATTTTTAAATCATTTATTGAAATATTTGTTTTGTCTTCTTCTAATTTTAACAAGTACTTTTCATTGTGTTTAAAATAATTCAAAATATACTTAGTAAAGTTACAATTTAACTCAATGTATTCTAACGCTGTAGAATAATTTAACCAAAATACAAAAAAATAAAATATTTTACACATAGTCATTTTAATATAAAAATATAAAATTCTATTTAATGCTTAGAAAATCATACATTTAGTATACTCGTGTATAAATGTGTATGAATTAATATTTATTTCAATATAAATTTTAGAAATTGAATTTTAAATATAGCATGAATGTCTAATATTAGTTTAATAAAAAACTTAATACAAATTATTTTATCCACCAATATATCGTTTTACTTTCTATACTTCAAAATCTTTCAATAAAAAAGAAGTTCAATATCAGCCGATTTTTTAAATTTTCTTCTTTAAATATTTAAGTTTATATAAAATATTTCAGGATTATTTTATAACTGGATAAAATTTGGAATCTTGTTAGTATTGATAAATTATTTTATTTGAGCTCTACTGAGAGCTGAATGGTTTTAAATGATAAATGAAATAATAGAAAATATGTAGGAACTATATTGTTTATTTTATTATGAGGAAAAGACTTAGTAATATATTTAGAGATTTATTTGGAAACTCTAAAGATATAATAGAAGAAAGGAGAAATGGGGCATTTATAAAGTTGTAATAAATGGACAAACATAAAGAAATATAGGGATCAGTTTTTAAAAAGACTTTAGAAATATTGCACTTAATAAATAAAATTGATCAAAAAAACTAATGACATATACAAATAATTAAGTTCAATTTAAGATGTTAAGCAAAATAATATGAACAAAAGTAATCAACAAAATTATGTCACATTATGATATAATACGATTTAATGATTGAAAATAACAATAACTTAATTCCAGTAATTATAAATCAACTTATGTTGAAAAATATAATGTGTATTTTCTAGTGTTTATGCTGATTGAGACATATTAATATATTTTAGAATAATGGCTTGAAAGGTATTATCAACCAATCATTCTCTTCGATAATTTAAATTGATAAAATTTTAAGTTGGTAGGAGGTAGAGAAGTCCAAATTTTTTTTGAAAGTTATATGACATATGAAACAATAATTGTTTTTAGCGTCTTATGTATAAAATTTTTAAATATATTGTATTAATCATAATGGAATAATCACTTGTAAAAACACATATTTATAACATATTTATTGTATGAAGAAATAGATTATAGAAGACTGTGGTTTGGTTTTTTAAATAAATAAATGTATTTTTATTTATTTTTGGTACTTTAATTTTAAATTAAATTACAATTTTAATCGATATCGATATCTGTCAATATCTTACCTCATTGGAATATAAAAAAGGAAGATTATTTAATATAATAAATTTAAATACATTAAGTGGGTCAAGCAAAGGATACATTGAAGGTACATTTGAAAAACAAAGGCACTAAAATAAATGTTGAGGGTCCACCATAACTACTCCCTCCCTAGCATATTCAAATATTTTAACATATTGCATTATTATAACTATGTTTCGATTTAAAGATTAAATTCTTAATAAAAATGTATCCTTTTAATTTTTAAGTGAAATAACAACCAAAGAAAAACCTCAATCAATTTTGATAGAGAAATTTTATCAAGGGTTTATGATAATGTTTTATTAATACGAACAAAATAATTATTGTTCAAGACAAGAAAAAAAATTATCATATTGATAAATATATCATAGATTCAATAGTAATGATATATTTATCAAATTGAACAATGAATTTATTATATATATCGAGGTTTTTCTCTGGGTGCAGAGAGTATCTTAAATTTAAGGGGTAACGGGGGGCCCTTAAATACTAGTGGTCGGCGAAGCGGCATAAAACAAAATAGTTAAACTCAATTAAAACAAACAATAAATAACATTAAAAATAATATATTGTTTGTAACAATGAGAACAATAGAAACCCGTTTCCTGACTTACTGAACACTCTGTATATTTTAACACTTTTCGTGCAATAGCATTATCATAAAAACTAATTAGTTTATAATTTATTTATTATTTAGATTTTTAGATATATTTATAAAAACATAAATTTTGCAATTATTAAATTTTTACGCATAAGTTTTGAATTATGTATAAGATGTTGTAAATATTAGTTTGATCTCATATTAAAAAATAAGAATTCCATAGATAAAATATTATTATAATTATTATTAATTAACTATTAAATGTATAATAGATTTTTAATATTCGATGAAAATTTATGCATAATATATAACTATTATATTAATTTGTTATTTAAAATATTATTTACAAAATTAAAAATATCTAGTTTAAAAATAGGAATTGATTTTACCTATGGAATTTATCTCACCATACTAAAAAATTAGCAAAATGAAACGAAGTTAGAATATTCTTCTAAAATTTAAAGAAAATTGTTTGTAAAGTGCTGTTCTGAAATATTGGAATAATTATTAACAAAAGTTCCTTACCGGAGTAAACTATTGGAACATCTGTAAGAAAAAGTTTCAGGGAAATTGTCGGAACGAATTTTATTCATTGTTCTATTCCAGAGTAATGTTGGAATGGTATAAAACTTTTCTGGATTAAAATTTTTGTTGCATTCTGAATTCCTGATTATTAACACGCTTATATTAGTTTCACTTGTATGTGTATTGTGTGTTTGACACTTTCCACGTGTCACGTGTTATTATTCTCGCGTACCCCTCGTCTATGACTTTGAGGCTAGACGTCATAACGCATTCACCCCACCCCGCTCACAACACAACGACAACACTAATCTGTATAATTTTATATTTTCCGTTTTCGTACCCGTACACGCGTGCCTGTCATCAATATTATATATATGTATAAACAAATTTTTATTTTGACTGACCAATACCACCCGCATGTAATGCTCCTTACGTATATATTTTTATATATTCATACCACCGCTGACGCCGTTTATACCTTAGGTATAATGTTCTCCCCGCCCACAAAACAAGGCTATACCTAGTGTATGATACGTTTACGTACTTAAGTCGCATTATTTGTATATACAGGGTGTTCAGTAAGTCAGGAAACGGGTTTCTATTGTTCTCATTGTTACAA